CGCAAACAATGCGTAAATAATTAAAAATAAACAGGAATTACGACGTGGAATGACGTAAATATATGTGGCGATTGGATTTACTCACCGCGCGACGTACCGCGCTGCTCGCCGCCTTGTTGCTTCCTGATGTCGCGTCCCGTGCCATTCTTCGTTTTCATTCACGTCCACGCGCGAAGCAAAAAAGCACCGCTAAATACGATCGCGCGTACCAATTAATGAAATTTTATTTTACTTAATTTAACAAAACTGTGACATTTTCTAATTAAGATAACACATAATATTGCAATTTATGGAAATCTTTCTCGCAGATCTTTACAATTTTTTTTTATGTTACAGACATGGCAAATAAAGATATGTACCAAAAAATGGAAGAACTTCTTAACATCTATAATATGGTAGTGACGAAAATAAGAAAACAGAACGATGTGTTTATTGAAGCAAATAAAAAAATAAATTCATTAGAAATGAAATCAGTTTCTCAGTAAGTATGAAGCAAGCTGCTGGACTTTTCCAACAATTCACAAGCTTCTGTATTCCTTCCAGGAAGAAGGTTTTTGGTTGATAGCGCAATCATTTATGCACCGCTTCCTGTACCCCGATTTTGTAACTCTTAACGACAGTAGTGTCGGAATCGTTATACTGTCGTTGCTCGTAAAAAAGCAGCGCAACAACAGTATAACGATTCCGACACTGTCGTTATATTAATTTCTATACTCTGCCATATGTAAATTTTTATTTATTGCTAAATAATAGTACTATCATTATTTGCTGGTATTTCTTGTTAGTATTTTTTATTATTAGCCCCCCCCCCCCTTCCTTTTCTTAGATAATCTTTTACTCACTATCGTATACCCAAATATATTAGCTACTACCTAAAACAAAATCGTTTACTCGACAGTACACGACAAACAATTAAATATTAACTATTATATTTTATTATTGCAGAGACAATATCACGATTAGTAGGGACATTTTATGTTTTACAAGTGAAATGCAAAACCTGTTTGCAAGTTCCGCAAACAACAACGCTGAGAGTATGACTAAACTCATTCAGTTGAAAGTACTCACCGAAACGTAAGTATTTTTAAAATGTCCTGTTTTACGAAAATAGTGAGAATTTATAATACTATTTTAAGAAAATAACAACAAAATTATTTTTATAGTATTATACGAGAAAAGCCACCAGTAGAAGGAGAGAACCCCCCCTCCCCAAACAACCCATAGCTACTGCGTATTCTCCATTCTTATTCCATTCTGGTTACAATAAATTATACGATTGATGTTAAAATCTCCATCAGAATCGTTATAATAACTCTAAGCTTAAGAGATTAGATTAATTAGATTATGGAAATAACAAGAATACAAAGTTATTTTTCAAGTTCTTTATTTCTTCTACTTTCTTAATAAATCAATGATTGTAGCTACTACAAACTGTATACGAGTTTTAATTTATTTACGGCGCACTATAATGATTTAATTAATTTGTTTGACCTTCTCTCGCTTATCTTCTTATCGTGATTACTATACAAAAGTTCGAAGTAAATAACCTTCTTCGTGAAATGCGTTCGACGATTTAATACATAAGCTCCGTTAGTCATTACTATACTTTATTACTCTTCTTACGATCTGGCGGGATAGTGATACACACACAATTTCATTATATTGATCTCAGAAAATAAGATGGCTTTTATATATTTTTTTTTCAATCTCTCGATATAACAAAGTTAAAGTCTCACCAGTCATCTGAAAGAGTGCATTTTAGAATACAATGCCTGTTCTACACATATTATTTCGTGGATCATCTTCTACGTAAGATAGATTAAAAAGTGTATACAAATAGCAATTAATAACTTATTTCGACGTTTTAGAATATCCGTATTCGTATAGATTCATTTTTCTTTTCCAATACC